AAAAGGTCTGAATCGCTAAAACTAGCTTCGGAGAGAAAAATTCTCATCTGGGTACCCTGCTGGAGTCAAAAGCAGGGTCCCCAGAAGAGATTCCTCTTAACTCAACCAGCTAGATGCTAATGCTAGTGTGAATCAAGCCCCCAGGTCAGTATAGCTACCAAGGCTGTGTTCCCAGCCACGGGGGAACTTCACAGCCACGCCCCCTCGGAGATGTAAGGCGCCTCCTTGCCAGATCTTGTGACTCTGTAAAAAATGCATGCTTGATACTATTGTTACCGCCTGTGGATTGTTAGCTTCTCTGTATGCCAATATAAACTGAAAGCTTTGTGGAGAACACCCCCTTTTTCTTACCTTTACCTTTTTTTTTTTTTTAACCCTTATTCCTTTTTCACCCTGATGCCTTACGCTTGATGCCTTTACCCTTCGGCTTTGCCCTTATGTCTGATACTTTGCCCTTAAGCCTTACGCCCCTATGCATCTTCTTAGGCTTGTCTTCCCCTTAGGAATAAAGAAATGGGCAGGTAAAACGTGCCCAAGTCAGTCGGTTCCTCAATTCCCGAGCCAGTCAGCCCCTCAGATCCCGTTCTCAGCAGTCTTCTCTTGTTTAGAAGTCCTATTCTGAACGCCGAGAGCGTGCTGAGGCAGGTACTCAGGAGCTCTCAGTAGTTGGTTCCTGTTATTTTGTTTGGGTTGGTTCTATGCTGGTTGTGCTAGTATTGTTGTTGTTGGTGGTGATGGGGTGTTGGGTATTTGTGTGTGTGTGTGTGTGTGTGTGTGTGTGTATGTGTGTGTGTTTCTCTTCTTTTGATTTTGCTGGCTTTAAATTATCCATTTCCTGTGTTTCATGGGTGTAGTTAATCTCCTTGGGTGGGAATTTTCCTTCTAGCACTTTCTATAGGATTGGATTTGTGAATAGATATTGTTTAAATTACTAATTTCCTTCAAGTGTTTGTTTTGCTTGGCTTTCTTTAAGGGAGTAACTCATTTCCTCAGATTTGTTTGTTTTCTTCCTGGATTTTGTTAAGAGATTTATTCATTTCTTTTAGGAGAACCTTTATCATCTTCATATAGTTGGTTTTAATGTCTTTTCTTGTACTTCACCCATGTTGAAATTATTCAGGGCCTGCAGTGGTATCATAGTTGGGCCCTAGTTGGGACATATTTCCCTACCTGTTATTGATTGTATTTTTATACTTGTGTCTAGGCATTTGGGTTTGGGGGTGAGTATAGGTCTAAATGATGAGTTCTAGGTTTGTCTTTGTTGGGTGGGTGTTTTGTTCCGTGGTTTCTGTTTCCTTCCTGGATTTTCACAGAGTGTGACAGTTGTGTGTTACTGTTTACCTGGTCTGTTCATCTGGGGTGTTCATAGGAAATGCCTGCTGGTGTTGGCGGCTGGGGTACTGGGCTGAACTGGGGGAGGGAAGGTTCGGGAAGATCTCTGTGATCCCTTGGGAATAGGGTCAGAGAGGGAAAGGAGACTGCAGCATGATCCTGCTGCAGAGCTGAGGATGAGACCGGTGAACAGGATCTCAGGAGCAGAAGGAGAGGGGTGGGTCTGTCTTCAGCCTCCTTTGCCCAGGGAGGAGCAGCCCTTGGGTTAGCCGCGGGTGCCTGCTGGGGTTGGGGTCTGGAACAAAACAAATGGAGAGGATGGAGAGGAAGGTTTGAAGGGGAAGATCTGTGGGATCCACAGGACACGGGAGCGGGAGGACAGGGAAGGCTGATGGAGTTGAGGGAAGAGGTGGTGAGGAGGGGAAGGTGTGTGGGGTTCACAGCAGATGTGGACAGGGGCAAGGAAGTCTGTAGCAGCACTAGGATGAGACCCGGGGTTTGGGTTGAGGGAAGGTGAGGTGAGGGTCTTCAATAGTTTACTGTTTCCTGTTCTGCTCAGCTGGTATGCTCAGAGAATGCCTGCGGGTGCTGGTGGCTGGGGTAATAGGATAACTCGGGGGAAGGTAGATTGGGGGGAAGAAGATATTGGTGCTCTGTTGGGGGGATGGGGCCAGAGACGGAAGGGAGGCTGCCACAGGGTCTCTCCTACAAAGCTGAGTCGTCTTCCCTCTTCTGGCCTCTAGGGGCGCCAGTGGTACACAGACAAAAAAGTGGTACGTAGCAAAAAAAAAAAAAGCCTATTCGCTCAAAACAAAATACTTAATATAATTAATATATCCCTGATAATTAACAATTAACAAACAAACCCAATAACTAAGTTAACGATCCACAGCCAGCCGGAGATGCCACTGCTCGGTCGTCAGTTAAGACACGTCTCACTTCGTTTCAGGGCATCAAGGAGGGGACCCCCAATCACGTGTAATATAGAAAGTATATTCTGGGTGGGAGGTGTCAGATTTGCTAACGCATCGAATTTTCTCTACATCAATAACTAGGAAACTGGGAGGGCGACACCCATCCTGTCTTCTGCGTAACTGTCGACAGGAAAATCTCCCATCCTGCAAACTTCACTTTGCTAGCCTAAAATGCCTAAAACACGTTATTCCGTGATGACAACGTGCCGCGCTGACACAAGCCCTCAAAAATGGGAAATGCCCACTCATAAAATTCACTCTTTTCTTTTTATGACATACAACACTTTTTAAAAAGCTCTTTAGATACTAGTTTAATGTGTGAGCTTAACTTTTACCGTATCACTTGGCACGCTTGCGCTTGTGCGTGCTTGTATGAGTGCGTGCGTGAGTGTGTGTGTGTGTGTGTATGTGTGCGTGTGTGTGCGTGTGTATGTGTGTGTGTATGTGTGCGTGTGTATGTGTGTGTGTATGTGTGTGTGTGTGTGTGTGTGTGGTCTCAGCCTCCCATGGAGCTGTGTGTATAATCATGCACACCATGCCTAGTTTTCTGTTAGGTAATATTTTTAAAAGAGAAATGAGAAGAATACTTTTGTTTTGTGACTATATTTACTCTAAGGCAGGGATATCTTTAGAAAGCTACAAGGTACATTTAGCGACTACTGGGGATAGAAATTTTTTATCCAAATTGTAAACATTCATGATGTCTTTGGGGGAGACTTTTCATCTGAGACCTTATATAACACAGACAGGTTTTGTATTTTTGCTGTTTGATTCCCATCACCTGAAAAATTATACCCTAAAGCTCCGTAATTCTGTCCTATCGTCCTATAAATGGGCCACCCCCTCTTTAATTTGTCAACCCCTGGAGTCCAATGGAGTGGTTTCCTTGACTTGGGAAGCTGACAGAGTCAGGATGCCTGACGAGTATTTTCTCTCAGAGTTAATATGGACATTCATACAGAAAGAAACTTCTCAGCGAGATACTCAGATCAGTAATCTATCTCTAAAATGGTTCCCGCTCCTGTGTATGTTGAAGTTCTCGTTTATACCTGTGGCTGGAGTTTTATAGAGTCCTATAGTCAGACTGTACAGACATCCTTGAGACAAAGTTGGGAGTCTTTACTGCTTTGATCTGTACGAAAACATCAGCTGTTTAGACCACGTGGTACATTTAGGGCGTTTCTGAGACGCTAATGCCACGATGCTTTTGCACGCTAGCGAAGTCTGTGAGGCAGTCTGAGACCCGTGGCCAGGCAGTCTCTTCAACCCGTGAACAAGAGCAAACAGAAGAGTTGGCACACGAGTGGTCGGCAAGGAGAGAAGGCGATCGATTTTTGCCTTGGCCATAACACAATCTAAGAAAGAGAAGCCAATTTAATGTGGCTCATCTCGGTAAGAGATTATTTTCTAAATCTATCACTAACTCACCGTAAGTGCATAATTGGTGAAAGAATATATTAATTTGCTATCGTTATAGTCTTGTTTGAGTTGGGCAGCTGCTTGTAAAAGGGGACTGTTTTGGAAGCCGCGCAAAAGGGACGCCTGAGACATGAATCGAAGAGGAGGAGCCTTGCCTAATTCCCCTCACCTGACACTCAACCTGAGCCTGGATGATCTGCCCCGAGAGGAGCTGACACATAGCTCGTCACCCTCTTCTCTCGCTCACATTGACTAAAGGCGATAATGTGGATATGAAAGAGAAAAACAAATTAGACATGTCTAAAGTAATTGGCACCGAGAAGCAGCAGCTAAACTCCCATAATGATACCTTACACCCTCATAAACCGAAAATTATAGTACAGGTCTTTTTCATTTGCTATCTTAAATTAGTCAAAACATTAATGTTTTCTACCTGACTCCGTAGGATTGCGTTATTTTTTTTTTAACTCCAAAGGACAAATGTACCTCACTGCTGAGAATATAATATAAAGTGGTCATACAAAAAGCTCATCTTGCGACCACAAGAAATGAGATACTGAGCCTGTCCCAACTCGGCAATTAGCCACTGTGTCTATCAGAGGAAAGCATGCAGACGAGGAGGGGGAAGAGCTGGTGGATCTGAGGGTCAGGGGAACCTCAGAAAATAATCCCCAAGGAAGTTGAGGCCAAATGTAGATTAACTTCCTGAGTCAAAAGCAAGCTAAAGGCACTCTTTAGCAACTCAGGTTGCTAAGCTGAGAGGAAGCTTTTTCGCTCAACCATGCCAATAGACTTCACCTCTCTTTGGCCTCTCTGTAGGTGTCCTCTCTGTATGAGATGCCGTCCAGGTGGCAGATCTTCCAGTTGTCCATTCTTACTTTAAAGTCAGAATCAGATTAAACAATTCCAAAGCAATCGGGGTAAGTGCAGGAGCTCTAAGAGATTTGTCTCTTTCTTGGAGTTGGCATTGTCTCAGATTATGACTACAGGACCGGATAGGTAGACGAGTACTCTATAAATAAATAAGGGTCCTAAGCCACCTTCCTGAATGCCTTAGATTTCCCCAGAAGCATAATATCGAAATCAGTTGAAGTACAAAATTGGAAATGTTGAACAATTACCCGTTTTCCTCTTAAGAAAAATAATGCTGTCCCAGAGAGTAGAGTGACATAGGAAAGTTCTCTCCAACGTATGATTGGGACACTGAGCTTAATTAGTGTTTTATGGAGAAAATAGAGAACTGGGCATAAATGATATACAAAAAGCCTCAGAATATTTAAATTAATCTTTTTGCTTTATTTCTAAGAGTTACATGTGTTCACTATAGGGAGGCAGATCTGAATGTTCGAGGCCAGCCTGGTTTATAGAGCGGGTTCTAGGACAGGCACGGCTACACAGAACCCCCCGCAATATGTGCTTATTATATAGAAAAATACTGAGCAAAATAAATATTATTGTACTACTGAGTCTTGATCAATATCAAATTTCAATGAATTTGATATCAGAAGTCAACTAATTACTTCATTCACACATAAAGAAGCTGTATCTAAGCAAAGTCTCCCAAAGACACAAAAGCTGTTTTGTTTTGGTCCGGATGGACCTGTTTCCTGATTTCTAGTCTGAAGCGTGGCCACACCATGCTCACTGCCCCTGCTGAAGCCCACTCTTGGGTTCCTTCTATCTTCAGCTTCCGAAGTTCTCCTGAAGTGAGTTCAAATCCAGGCACCCTTCATACCAGCTCAACACAGAACCATCTCTATCACCAGAGGGACACACACACAGTGTGTGTGCATGGGTGTGGTGTGTGTGCTTTTGTGTGTATGAGTGCATGTGAGCATGCATGTGTATATGTGTGTATGCATGCGTGCTGTATGTGTGTGTGCCTGCGTGTTGTATGTGTGTGTGTGTGTGCACGAACGCGCGTGTGCTACAGAGCTCTGGGACTAACTTGGTGTGTAATAGCCACAATAAAAGAGCTTTTTGGATAGTTATTAGAAGTGAGAAAACACAAAAACATTAAAATGTAAATTTCTCAGCTGAGCATTTTCTAAATACAAAAAAATTATCCTCAAATATGCATTACTATTGTGCCATAGAGAAGTCCACCTTCTAAACTTAAGTCCATAGCTAATATGTTTTTTTTTATCAACAGTTTAAAAAGAACTGTTATGGTGTTGTGAAATCTACACTTACCATGTCCTCTTTACAAATTCTATTTATTTCCCTCCTCAATGCCAAGAGATTCTGAAATTTAAACTATTTCAAAGACATTTTTAATCAAGCTTCAATCCCTACATCTTCTAATACTTGTTATAAAACACAGGATCCAAGCAGGTATGAAACAAAAATGGAATGTCCTCGAACACCTGTATCTAAAACTACAAACCTCACGCTGAGTAGTCGTGGTAAAGGCACGCACCTTTAACCCCAGCTCTGGGAGGCAGATGTGAATCTCTGAGGTTTGGGGTCAGCATGGTCTCTAGAGCCAGTTCCAGAACAGCCGAGGCCAGCGAGACACAGAGAAATCCCATCTCAAACAAAACCAAAATCCCATCCCACCAAAAAACCAAACCTCAGAATTTGGTATGCTATGTTTTTATGTTCTTATAGACGCTAAGAAGCGAGTAAGCTGTCACCTACATGACACTCTCCTCCTCCTTGTACGAAGAGGGTCCCTGCCCCACAAGGAGGTAACAAAGGGTCTTAAAGGGAATATAGCTTTGCCAGTTGAGGGAGGGTATAAAATCCTAATGAAAGAAAAAAAAAAACTCAGCTGCTGGGATAAGATAAAGCGATCCCTTTAAGACCGTTTGCTGCCTGATTTTCTGGTACTTTTTGTCTTTGCTTGATTGACTCATTCACACTTATTTACCTGGCCTGTTTCGTGCCACACTTGTGAGTCCGTGAGAGGCAGAGTGAGGGAGGAGAGAACACTGACCTGGTGTCAGCTACTTTTGGCTCTTTAGCTGACTGACCTTGAGGGAGTTGGGCAGCTTCTCTTTGCACCTGGGCTAAGGACCGCATTGCCTCACCGGGTGTTGTGGAGAGGAACCGAGATGGTAATATCTGATAAGAACCTTGTCTCCTACCTGCCACTCGTGTCCTGCTCTCAGGTAAGGTGGCTTTGGTCACGTGTGCTGCCCCAGGCAGATAACACTAATGAGACGTCTCTGATGGGCATTCATTCTTGGGAGAGGCTTCTTTGGAAATGTTGTGCTAATTTCGTCAGTGATTTCAAATTGTGCGGGATGAGAGGGCTTTGCCCAGATCCTGTGTAAAAGACTTCTGGTTTTCTCCTTAAAGGTCTTTAACCACACTAATGTCTCCTAAGAACAACTCAAGGACCTGAGATCAGGGAATTGCCCAGGGATTATCTGGAGCCCGGTGCACTCCTCGATGACGTGGAATGATAATTAGTCATTTTCTGAGACTTGATAAAGAGAAAATCAACAGTATAAAAGTAGTATTTTCAGAAATAAAACAAAGCAAAATAAAGAGCAGGTGCGGTGCACATTCCAAGGAAGGCCTTGGGGACACACGTCAGGTGGTCACTCCTGCACTGGGCCTGGGAACTGGGTCCTAAATAGGACATTTTTACCTTTAGCCCAGAATGCAAACTTTTCGAGTAGAAATTCACAACCGGCTTAGAAGGAATTAGCTCCAAGGTGTTTCTTAGAAACAGGCATGCTGTCCGCAGTGTCTGAGGCAGGTGACTTGGGTAGGTGTGCGCACTGAGAACTCTTGGGATGGATGAAGTCCCCCACCAAGAGCTCTGAGACTTTTGCGCTCTCTTCTGTGAGGGCTGCAAGCGACCGACCGAGAAGCGGAAAAGGGCAGCGAGCCAAGTGAATCTGAGCATGTAGCAGGGATCTGAGTTTCTTTTTAGAGAGCTGTAGGAAGGCAAGGCTGAGAGCTGCGTCCAGGATTGTGGTCAGTCAGCGTCCTCCCTTGGCTTTAGCTGAAAACAATGGAATGAACTTTGTCCTGTAACAATTTGGTTAAAGAGCAGAAGGAAGGGCTGTGGAAAAAGGCTGAGAGACCAAAATGTTTATTCAGTGAAATTCATATTTGTTTTCTGGCTATATATGGAGACAGTTAAACAATTAGCATAGTTGTCTGTTTTAGTTTCCACTATGATGGGCAAGATTCGATTTCTAGTCTCTTCTTTCTGAATATCTGGCTTACATTAATCCCAATCCCCACTAACATGGGAATATGGCAGCCTTTCCTCTTAGGAAACACAAGGTAAAATTCACATACTATAAAAATTCACTGTGTAGGGCTGGAGAGATGGCTCAGCGGTTAAGAGCATTACCTGCTCTTCCAAAGGTCCTGAGTTCAATTCCCAGCAACCACATGGTGGCTCACAACCATCTGAAATGAGATCTGATGCCCTCTTCTGGACTGCAGGCAGACAGACAGAATATTGTATACATAATAAATAAATAAATATTAAAAAAAATTCACTGTGTATATGTATATCATTTTAAAATGCACAATTTTGCCACTGTTGGTACTTGGCCTTTTTTTTATGATGTTACACCACTGTAACACCTACAGCCCTGAAGTCAACTATGTGCTTTATATTTGCCATATATATATAAAATTATATATATATATATATATATATATAAAAAAATTTGGAATAGTCTGCAAGGAGGTCAGAAGGCATTCACGGAAATCTTGTTAAGATCGTATCTCTTTGGGACACTCAGCCGAAATGAAGACCTGTGAGCATGCACTCATTATCAGTTAATGACCTATGACATGAGGTAGAAGCCTGAACTTGAACTTACCAAGAGTCCGCTCCGTTTTTAAAATGACAGAAATGCCAATAATGAGACAGGCACTTGGGCAGGACCTCGGCTTTACAGGAAAAGCTCTGTATCCAGAGGGAACTGTGGCCTCAGATCTGAGGCCTTCCTGTAACAGCTGGTGATAACCCCATGGTGTTGGCTCCTTCTCGTCTGTCTTCAGGGCAGTGGAGTGTGGTGACCATTCCCTGGGCTGTCTTCCTTCTGGATGGCATCCGAAACAGCAGAGGCGACCGAGGGCCCTGGAGGTAAGTCCAGACACAACCTGGAAGGAAAAGAATAAAAACCCCTTTTACTTCCCAACCCTAAGTATTGGTTAACCACTTCCAATAAGAGTACATTTTATTCTGGATGGAATACTTAAAAGGCTGCCGTTGGAACGGACCAGCTATGACTAGCTCAGTGGTGACACATGCCTGTCATTCCATCAGTAGAGAAGCTGAGGCAGGGGCATTGTGAGTTCAAAGCCGGTATGAGTAACTCAGATTCCCTCTCATAAACAAAATGTTGAAAATGAGTTGAGAAATGCCTCTTGGGTACCTGTTTTTTGGCTTTTGAAAACTGGTTTAACGCATGCACGGCTCCTCGAGTTATGATTCAGTTGGCAAGAAAGTCATGTATTCTGTTCTGAGAGGAAAAACATTCATTTTGGATGAAATTTTACTTTGGAGCAGTCAAACGTTTCTTTGGAAGGAGGAAGAGTCGGTGAGGTCTCGTGACTGTGGCTTTCTTATCGGGAATGTCAAGGCCAGGAAACTCTGTCACTTTGTGCCTCACAAGTGTTTTGGGAGTTTTTAATTCCAGTTTCTGTTTTAACTCCTCCCATGTTGTGAGCTCCAGCGACACGCTCTGAGTCCTCGTTCTCGCCGACTTGGCCAGGATTTAGGAACCCTGGCCAACGCTCAGATATCACGCCGTCTACGGATGCCGCTCATTTTTTTTTCCTTCCTGCTTTGTGGTCGGCTCCCGTCTGATCTGCTCCGCTCTCCTAGTTTTGGTTTCTGGGGACTTCTTCGTGACAAGGGGAGCAGAAGTTCCATATTACACTTCGAGGCCCACAGCAACTTAGCTGCTTCTCCGAGTCTGCAGTAAAGAATCTTCACGGACTGAAAGTTAAGACACCTGGAGATTGGGGGACAGCTCAACACCCATCCTTAAGGCACACAGCAATTAATGGACACAGAGGTTCTTGTTATCGGCACACGGTGACATATCAGCAAGGAATCAGGAGAGTTTGTGTCTTGCTTGAGGGTCAATAAAATTCCAAAAAAAAAAAAAATAGGAAATTCTCAGTTTGTTAGATGCCCCCTTCCTGAGTACCCCATGTAAACATACCTTAGGTCTCCTTCAAAAGACATTTGGGATACGCCACCCCATTGTACAGGTTCAGCAGACACGACCACACCTCTGAGAGAGGAGAGAGAACTGAAAAGTTGGTGTGGAAGGAGAAGAGAGGGTTTTTGCAAAGGCCGAGAAGCTGTCGAGAGCAGTAAACGGTGAGTCCCCTATCTCTGCTCTGCAGCCCTCATCCCAACGAATCCAGAAGCACCCCGCCCGCAAAGACCTTTGGGGCTTCTGATAGAGAGTCCAGATACAAGGCCCGTGCTCCTGAGTGACTCTCCTCATTAGCAGGTGTCATTCTGCCCGCGCTGCAAGGGTGCAAGCTGGTTGGGGTTTCAATGTTGAGGATTACTCTGGAAGGGTTGACAAGATTGACAACGGTAAGGTAAGTGGCAGCCTGGCATGGCCTGGGGATGGAGCTAAGGTCACTAGAGGCTTAACATCTGGTGCATTTTTCTGTAGTTATATTCATCCTTTCCTTCAGGAGGCTACCAGGTGGCTTTAATCAGACTGGGTCAGACCCAGGGTCCCAACCGGGACAACCGGTATTCCTGGTAACCCCCTGTCTGATTCTGGGACCTGTAGAGGAGCAAAGGAGGCAGGTGTGGTGGGCTGAGAGCCCAGAGGGAAAGGACATTGAAGGGAGCTGTCTCCTGGCTGCGCCTGCAGGACAGAAGTCTGGGCTGGGAGGCCTGTGGTCACTGACTGGGCTGTGGAGGGTGGCTCTCTGATCTCTGAGTCCCCTTCCTGCGCTTTGATTTCACTGTTTTGAGAGAAGTCCCTCTCTGCAGTCCGGGGAAGGAAGACATTCTGGGTCGCAGGGAGGCCGGACGTGGAGGCCAGGAAGGCTGCCTCTGTGACGGGACTTGTATTTACTTAGCTACCTGCGTTCCAAAATGTAGCTGGGGTGGGAGGCTCCTTTATTCCTCTCCAGCTTCCGCCGAGCTTTGCCTGGGGACTGTCGGGCAATCGGGAGGTCAGAGCGACGCGCAACGCTCTGGCACCTGCCAATCGGCCCTTTGCACGAAACGTCTCCACGGTTGTCCCCTCGGGGTCCACGCACGGTCTCCCTGCCACGATGCGGGACACTCGATCCCTTCTCGAGTTTCTTCTGCGGTGACCCTACCAAGGCGCGGGTTGTGGGCGCCCTCCGGGTGACTCCTGGCAGAGCAGCGAGCACCGGGCGGCCCGGAGCGCTGCTCGCCCAGACCTGGTGTCCTGCTGGGAGGGGCGTCCCCGGCGCTCGCGAGCTCCGCCCCCGGCTGCCCGTGGGCGCAAACAGAGCGCACCTTGGTCGGGTCACCGCAGAAGAAA